TGAGAGAAAATAAATGAGATAAAGAATGTTTAATTTAAGAAATTAAATGAGAAAATGAGAGAAAATAAATGAGATAAAGAATGTTTAATTTAAGTTTATCTATATTAGACTAAGTCTAATATAGAGAACTAAACATGTTTGCATTTGTGACTATTGTTCATGGTGGAACTAATTTCTGTTTGTTTTTTTTTCTTTGTTGAGGTTATCAACCTGCTTATGATTCAACAGAAAATGACAAAAGTCAAATAAAAGAAATGACTAAGTTGATCTGAGTTGTTTCCTGTGTCCTCTGTGCCAATCCTGGTCGAGTTCAGGCAGACGAATCCCAAAATAACTCAACACACATTGCTCCTCTTTATCATAGGAAACTGCTGTTTACATTGTCTTGGGGAAGATTTCTATGTCATAATGGATCACGGATAGTTCTGACAAACCAAATTATTATCAAAAAAACTACCAGTATAATATTGAGTCAAATTAATGTTATATTAATTCATAAAATAAAACAAAAAACATTTCGTATTTAATAAACAGTGTAAAAGTATGAAGCCATTTAAATTCAGTTTTGGGGAAGTGTATGATGGTCTGTTTTTAATCACAAACTAGCCACACAGAAATACACTTTTTTTGGTGTATTTAATAAATATCTTGTGAACAGCACTGAGTTGAATATGATCATAAAATCAAATAAAAAAAGAAAGGCACTTTGAAAGCAACGTTGTAAAAGGCCTGTGTGTGGAATTTAGAGGCATTTGGGTGTGAGCACATTTCTGGGGTCATTCTTGTGACATTTTCTGTCTTTCAGTGTGAATAATATTAAAACTAGCATAAAAAACAAGCATAAATTTAGCGCGACTGACATGAAAACACAAGGGACCTGAGGATAAAAGTGAATGCAGGAAAAAAAAAACATATTTGTATCTCTAGTTTAACAGGTAAAGAAATCCTTTGATTGTTTAAAATTGCTGCAAATTCATTGTTTTAACAAGTGGTTTACAATCCCTTTATGATATAAGGCTATCTAAAAACTGCATAAAAATAGTAATAGTACTCTTTCTGAGTGTTTTGACTTCTTTCTATCAGAGCACGATAAAATCTTATATCACATCTTAACTCAAAACCAAATTTACAACCGCTGTATTATCTGCTGTTTCACGGCAAGCGTCCGGCTTAAACTGAAAGCTGTTCGACATTGTTCAGAATATCTTATTGCAATTGTTCTCTAAATATACATAAAAAGCTGTGCGGCTACGGCTCAAAAGTGACGTATCAAACAGGAGTTTGTGAGAAAAAACGCGAAGACAAGCAGAAGCTGAAGAAGTCGTTCGTCTAAATCCATGGGCTTCAAATTCCGATAGGACCAGTCCGTCAGCAGGAAAGAAACACCCACTTCAGTTTCTCTGAGTATGTACACACAACATACACTGTACACAACAATACAACACATGGGTATAAGTCATACGTGTTAGTAAAAAAGAAAAAAAAAAGAGATGCTGTGGGCAGGTGATACAATGTTATGACGAAGCGACGAGACAAATGCATAAATTTTTCCACCGCTCTCTTCGGCCGGACCCCAAACCAGCGGTAAATGCAACAGCTGTTGGATAGTTGAAGTAACAGTTCAAGACGTTTCAGCAGGTCATCATTTGCCTTCATATTTAGGATTGACCACAGTCGTGACGGCACTTTTGTAGATAGGATTTTCACCCTGTGGAGGAAACAAAAAAGGAGAGTTAAAATCCAAAACCTCATACAAAGTTCCCAGGAGAAAACTCTCTTTTTTTATACATTTAGTTGTTTTAAAACCACAAACCTTTATTGCTGGGCTTTTATGTAAAAGATCAACACAAAGTAGTTAATTGATAAAAAAAAAAGTCCTGATGGAAGGTGAACAGATCCTAAAAGTAAAAAAACAATCCACCGGACTTCGTTTTCCAAGTTTGAAGACGTTTCGCTTTCCATCTAGGACGCTTTCGCAATTCAAAATGCCTGGATTAGCGTTGAGAGCCCGGCTTTTATAGAGTAGCCCAATGAAAGCC